AATTTGTATTTTTTTTAATTAAAAACAAAATTAGAATTAAAATAAGTCGAAATGTCAAACACCCCTTATAGAATATATTTTGTTGCCTCGTTATTCCTTATAGCATTGTAACGTTTATAAAGTATAGTAATATACGCCATATGTGACGTTAATATGCGAAAAGCCATTGATTTTAAAAAGTGCGAAAAGCTGTAATATTTGCTGCTCTTCGGGGAAAATATTTCTCTGTCCTTGGGAATATGACTTTTTCATAGTGTAACCTAGCGAATGTCATTTAGATTTAAAGAAAACAATTATATGTATCTTAGACATTGTTATTGTGTACAATTATACTTTGTATAATTGATAAGACAGACATTCTGAGAGTATTGCAATACTAGTCCCCTACAGGCAAGTTAAACAAATAACCGAAAAAAATGAAAATGCCATTATACTGGGAAAAAAAACAATTAAAGCAAAAGAGGCAAATTTATTCTTAAACTTGTCATTGCAAAGTCACCTTCATAAAATCATTTCAATATCTGCAAGTGTTTAAAAATAATAATAATAAAAAATACGAGAAACCTTTAAAAACTGAAAAGGTCAAAATTCCGTCAAATATCAATTAAAACCTGATCTATAACTCATATAGATAAATTCATATATCAAAGACCAGCCAAATATCTGAAAGCGATTGAAGAAAAGAAAGAAGACAAGAAGAAAGAAATCAGAAGTAAAACTAGACAGAATAAAAGGAAACCTAGAGTCCCCGGGTTTCATCGGTATGGACTAAAAAAATATTGCATATAAATATCTGTTCAGCACTGTGTCAAACTCTTAATTAGAGACCCTTAACCGTGCTATTACACCTCAAAAACGAACCGAACCGTTCCGTACACAAAGCGTACCGTACCGTCCACAAAGCGTACCGTTCCGTTCTTTGGTTAATTATTCAAACCACGCCCCCAATGATTTTCAAACCGCGCAATGACCAAATAAGTTATTTTGGTTTATTTCTCACTATGGCGCCTGTGAAAGGAGGACGGAGGTTGTGTCTGGCTGTTCGAAACAACATTATCAAGTATCATGCATCCGGGCTTTCAATTGTTAAAATAAGGAAACTACTCGAAACAAACTTCAAAACACTTAAGCAGAGTTTGAAACGATTTCTTATTTGCTATAAATTAGGTCAACTTGTTGTGTTTGTGGTCAAAGGTAAAGTACAGGCCACGAGTTTTTCCTGCAAAACACGTACGGGACACAGTGGACCTCGAACAAGTTGTTGGCGTCATTTTCTTCTTATACGCAAATTAAATCAACTTCCTTTTGAAATATTAATTTTACTTAAATATTCGTAATTTAACTATACAGATATTTAAACTTATATTATAAGATGCCCCAAAATTCAATATAATAGTGCTCGTACCTGGGAAAAAAAACCCTCTTTGAATGTGTACATGTACATTCATGTTTCATAATCCTATTAGATATAAACATAGGTTCAATAGACTATAGAACATGTAACACTAAGATTTTTTTTTGAATTTATTCCCGCGTCTGCTCCACTTTCGATTTTAATTTTTTTTTCATTTAAATTGTTGAAATCGAATAAGATACATGATCGTTTTTCGCTAAGTATGCATTCATATGTAGTACATATCAGATGCGTCATTTTACTAATGAATTATTTTGTAAGAATTTTAAAACATATATAATCTGTCAAGAATACAATAAAAAAACCCGTTACGGTATTAGACTCGCACATTAATGCTGCTCAGATTACTACTAGGCGTATCATTGGTGCAGTAAGACTTCGAAAATCTGTAATCATGTCAAAATATGGAATAAATATAACATGCGGTAAGCAATGAAGATTTCTACTGAACAGGCAGAGATAATTATCTGACTCAACTGACACGCTGCATACAAAGACCGCCAGCCGAATTTCTTGCAAATTAAATGTGCAAATTTCAGTACAAATATTACCTCATTCTGAGATATATCTTATGAAAAATGAAGAAAAAAAGGTTTGCGAAAAAATAATGATATTATAAGGGTTGTTACACTGTACCTCCATCCTCTTTTTAGAAAGCAATACGAATTAGCTGATCAAAAGTTCTTTAGAAAACTGCAAAATGGTTAGTTGGAGCAATAAAAAAATAAATACTGGTAAGAAAATGTATCAAACGTGTCTAAAAAGCAGATAATTTAACACTAAACTGAAAATTAAAAAAATACCAATCGTCTTTAAAGTCATATAATATTTGCCCCCCCCCCCCCCCCCCCTCCAGAAGGCAATACTTATTTGCTACTTAAAAACTCATCAAAAGTTATTGTGGGTTTTTTTTTAAGGAAAATTATAATTTAGGAATAAATGCTTATTTATTATCTGAAAAAGGAATATTTAGGATGTAAATTTGTAATCAATGTTGTGGTGAAACCTGAAAAGAGTTTCGGTGGATGTCAGTTGAGTGAGTCAATATACACTTGATGTAGTCAGAACTGAATAATTTGAAAGGTGTGAAAAACAAACGGCTCCCCCGCCCCTCCGCGTGACTGAACATATTTTAAACAGTTGCGAACTCTGAACTGATCATGACACTCCTTCAAATCACAAGAGAAATTCTTCCCTCGTAAACAGACTTTTAGGGTGACCTAGCGGCATACAATTTTGATTGACAGGTGATGCACGAGGATTTCATGCGTACAGCATGCATGTAGAGAAAACGAATTGATTGCACAAAAGTTGTACATGGGTTGAGTATGAACCAAAAGTATCGAAATTAAATAGCATCATAGACTGATTACTTGTGACTTTAGCGATGTAAATAAAACGAAAATGAGAGTAAATACAAGTTGTTTTTTTTATTACTGATTATGCAACAAGGGTTCTCTCCCTCTCTCTCTCTCTCTCTCTCTCTCTCTCTCTCTCTCTCTCTCTCTCTCTCTCTCATTCACGACATTGTATTCACACACTTTACAAGAAAAGAATAACTTAATAAAATTAAAAACAACAAAAAAATCATTTAAATAAATACTTACACTGAAAAGAATATTGAAATCATAAATACTACATGTAGTCTGTGAACAGAATGTTTTCTCTTACGAGAAATATTGTAATGATTTCGTGTTTCCGCTGCTGATTTTCTGATTTAGAAATTGTAAGATTTATACATGTATCAGAAAAAAGGGAACAAAAAATTGAAAATCTACTATTCCCTTTAAGTTATTGGGTTTTTTAAAATTATTTTTCTTTATATTTTTCTTTATTTATTTATTTTGTTTATATATTTCTCTTCTGATGCAATCGTTTAAAAGATAGATCTACGATTAAAAAAAAAATAAAATAAAAAACAACATTTCTGATTACTAACTGAAGAATAATCATATTTTTTTTATAGATCAAGCAATTAAAATAAAATTTGTATACGTGCGTAGTGTTAAATACATGTACATAAAGTGAAAAATATTTCATATAATTTTTTTTCCTTTTTAAAATGAAGCCTCGGCAAACGTAAAAAAAGTACTAAAAAATTTACAAGTTCTATTTTTCAATACATATCTTTACATAATGCCTAAGACATCGGTGGAAGAATGTTTTTTCTGCCTTTCTTTATTTCATTTTTCCTCCATCACTGCTGCATTATAAATTTATGTTTAAACTGAAACCGAGATATTAATTTGTTAATAACGGAAATATACCTGCATTTAGTACTTCAGAGGGCATTAAAATGAACTAAATTTTAGTAGCCAATCAAGAAATAAAGCTAACTGGCTCCGCCCACTTCATTTGCATACCGTTCCCCAAAGCGTACCGTTCACAAAACGAACTGTTTCGTGCAAGAAACAAAACGTAACGTCCACAAAGTGTACCGTTCCGTGCACAAAGCGTACCGTACTGTTCACAAAACGAACTGTTCCGTGCACAAAGCGTACCGAACCGTACCGTTTAACTGGTGTAGTAGCACGGTTTAGGGTCTATATGATAAAGTATCCACAGCCTTAAATTTTGTTGTCTAAATATATAGAAATATCTTCTGCAATTTTTTTGTTATATTTCATTAAAAAATATTTGTAGAATTAAGTCTTTTTTCTCATGTGAATGAGCCATATTTTGCTACCTTGTGTACAAGTGTCTCCATGGTAACCTTTATCACAACCATTCAAGCATGTCCCATTAATGTGATGACATTGTTTATTATCAAGACAGACCCCGCATGACTGAGCACAGTTTAATCCAAATTTACCTCCGTCGCATTCTAAAGAAATAAAAAGTTTTTATGGCTAATTATAAGTCTAATATGTTTGGTAATTTGCAAATAACGTACCTTTTTAATGCAATTTAGAAGTCTAATATTTTTTTTCGTTATGTACGTTATTGTTCAACTTTCAGAATTTATCAATTTCGAAGAAAAACACTAAAAATAAGTCATTTTGGTTCATGTAAAAATGTTTCTGTGAAAGAAGGGTTCAAATAAAATATAACTAAAGTCCATGTATACGAATTTTATCATATTTTGTAGTTTTAGTTTAGTTTTATTTTATTTTGAATTTTCTGTAAAATACTCTCATTTTTTTTTAAAATATGTAATATGTAAAACAATTTATTACTCTTGTCACATTTTATATCCTTCCATCCTGGCTGACACCCATTTTGACATTGTCCTGATTTCCTGTCACATCTTGTCCGCTCTCCACAATTGACGTCACACATGTCTAGGCAGTTGTATCCGTACCACCCATCAGAACATACTAAGAAAAAAATGAAGAGAGTCCTTTAAAAAGTAGCAAAGGTTATGTAGATTTTAAATTTTTCCTTAGTTTCTTTCCACTTTTGTAAGATCATCAGTTGGTCGATATTATTTTTAAATGAATTGGTAGGTTGACGATACGTAGGTTGATGGATATGAAAAAAAGACAATATATTGATTTTTACTGTAGATAAGTGATTGATTAACCTTGTGTACATCTGTCTCCATAGTAACCTTTATCGCATCCATTCAAGCATGACCCATTAATGTGATGACATTGTTCTTTATCAAGACAAGACCCGCATGAGTGAGCACAGTTTTGTCCGAATTTACCTCCGTCACAAACTGTAGATAGAATACAAAATTAATATACCCCATATCACTTATATAACAATTATTTGATTACAAAATTGGAATTAAATATGTTCGACAGTCCTACAATATATGTTCATGGATTTTTTTTTTCATTAAGAGGATATTGGTACTGCATGACGAATCTGTATTACTGAAGATCACAAAATTTTCACGACAACTTATTTTTGACAGATAGTCATTGATTCTTGATAAGCGATACAAAATTTTCACGAATTGTGGTACTTGCTTTATATATTAAACTATTATACGCGAGAACTTATTTTTCGCGAGCACACTGTCTCTCGTAGTTACGCGAAAATAAAGTTCTCGCGAATTAAAAGTGATTTATAGTAACCAAATCTGTACTAAATTATGAAGGCGAAAAGAAAATTAAATGCAACATGTACATATAATTTGCTATATTGTCTTGCAGGGATAAAAGGAAAATCTGTAAATATTTGAATAGAAAGTAAAGATAATGGCCTAAAAATAAAAAAAAAACCTCATACTTTCATAGATCTAACCATGTTAACGACATTTTTTTTGCAAACATGTTAATTGATTGTTTTGATAACAGTACTCAATTATTTATATAAATGATAATAGTTTAGTCAGTATCCTGTTCCTTCCTTGATTATGCTCTTCGGGTATGAAATGAATCGGAAATCACTCGGTGTTATACTTAAACCAAACTATGAAGGAGACTGCAAGCAATCCAGTAATACATGCGAGTTCTTTTAGATGTTTCGCTGAATCGGGTGAAATTGAAAATTCTTTGACGTAACAGATATAGTTATGATATACCTTTACTTTTATACCGTATAAAAACCTAATCATTAGGTAGTTATAATCATAACAAAAAATAAGATTTTAGGACTTTTTTTAAAGCACAAGTCATTAATTTATGTATTTCTCTCTCTCTCTCTCTCTCTCTCTCTCTCTCTCTCTCTCTCTCTCTCTCTCTTACGAAACCATCTTTTCAGGATTCGCTTGTATTTACGTACATTTTTCACATCGTGAGCCTCTGTGCCCGGCAATACATCCAAAACAAGTTCCGTCTACAATGTTACAGCTTCCTTCACGACAAATCTGTGGACACGGAAATGTGCAATTTTCTCCGTAAATAACAAAGGAAGGGCATCCTATATTAAATATTAAAATATTTTAAATGACCATATATATATTTTCAATATATTTTTACTTTAGCTCTACGTTGAGCCAAAGCTGGGGGATAAAAACGCATAACGAGTTAAATATATCCAAACACAAATCATTGGGGATTTCTATATTTCTCCTGAAATACCGTTGGTGGATATTTAAGCGGTACATATTTAGCGATTTGTTCTTAGAAATTGGTATTTTATTTTTATCAAGATGTAATTTTAGCGACTTTTATAAGCTCACTATACATGTATAAACTTTAACAAATAAAGTGCAATTAATTTTTTCCGATATTTAATGTTAGCGATCTTTGAATCCTCGCTAATAATGCCAAAATTAAATCCTCGCTAACATTTCTGCGTATATGCAAAAACAAATACGAATGTTTTAAACTTTATATAGATCTAGAATAACTCAATGAATCGATTAGAGATCTGGTGGTGAGATAAGATAACAACTGAATATGTTTGTTTCATTGCATTGGTTGACAATGGTTTTCCATGGGGTGTCAATTTCAACTGTTACCCTCTAAAACAGGAACCATGTATATAGAACAACGTAAAGTATTTATTGGTATTCCTTATACAGAATAAGCTATGTATTCTATAATCCCTTACCATAAACCTGGACTTCACAGAGTTCATTGTACGCGTATGTAGAATATCCATCAGGGTAGGTAACTCCTGGGAGTCTTTCATTGTAATAGATGACGTACCGTCCATGCTTTATACATTCTATTGTAATATTACTCGGTATCGTTTCTCTAGTGTAGTGTGTGTCTTTAAAACATAGATAACCGTCATCTTTGTTGGTGGTGTTCGATATAAAAAGCGAAAATCCAAGGAATCGGCTTGTGTATCCATTGTCAGGGCCTTATGGAATATAATTAACTTTAAAATGTAAAATAAAAACTTACAGGAATATGCGTTCACAGACTGTGATAAAAAAAAATATCAAAAACATTTACGTAGTATTAAATGTTCACTTAATGGTTAAAAATCAAATAAGTAAAAAGTACGAAAATAAACGGCATGCTCCCATATTCAATGTTTGTTTGCTGTTAAAATTTTAGATAATTCTGATTTTAATTAAGGTCAAGATCTGTAAATAAATTTAGGCTAATTTTTGGGGTACTAGATCCATTATGACATCATAATCAATTTCAACTTTCTTTATCTGTAAATTATGGCGTTAGCAGAATTAAATAGAAAATAGGGTATTTTCATGACATTCAATTTAAAATCATATGAAAAGTATATTATATATATAAATTAAAATTGATATTAATTTAAAGAAGAGGCAATGAACATTCTAATTATCTTAAATTTTCTGAGAGACTGTATACAATCTGGATACATTTCCTTTGTCCAATATGAAAAAAAACTCCCATATTCATGCCTGGTTTTCTTAATTTTTTATTGAAAATGACATTTTAAAATACAGGTTTTTTTTTCATTTTGCTTGTCTACAAATTATGCCAAGAAACACCTTATTTGACCAAGCTAAAGTTGTAAAGCATTATTAAAGGAATTTATATCTCAAATTTGGTAAATATGTAGGCACTTTTCATTTACAAGATCTTGACCTTAACATAATGCTGATGATAGACTATTGAAAAAGTAGGTCAAAAAGAATTAGAGGATATTCAATGTTTTTAGTTGAATATGAAATTTATTTCACGAATGGGAATGGATTTTTTGAAATTTTCTTTTATATTTTTTACGAGTGCGAAACAGTAACAAAAATCCTGTCTCACGATTGAAATTAATTCCATATTCAACTATAAAACATTGCATTTTCCTTTTTTTTAATTTTCTTTGTTTTTTTCCCTCTACTCTGTCTTTTTCCAATGCTGTCATAGGCTACATGACGTCAAAGTTGAACAGTTGAGACGTCAAAGCTAAGTGTTGTGAGATTGAAAGCAATGTAAACAAGGATTTCAACACCATATTTCTCAAATCTTTGGCAGTTGTATTCGATGTTTCTTGTTCATTTTCTAACGGAGAAAGGAGTTTTTTTTTTGTTTTACAAGATACAAGAATCTTTGTTTTTGGAAGAAACATCGAGAGTTTGATATTTGTCAAACTGAGAAAGAACATCATTTAGATATCTTTTCAAACTATAACAGAATACCATTTTTATTCAATGGATAAATTACAGTATTTCACTGGTAAAAATATAATTCAAAAAAATCTATAAAATACATGAACGTTTCGAAATATAACATAGTTAAAAACAGCGGTTATCTGCTAATGAAATAAGTTAATGATTTTTTTAAAGAGTAGTCTTTAGTTTGATTTTTATAAAAATTAATATGGAAAAATGTTTTGTTTTCTATATTGTTACAATAAACTACAATACTGTACCCCATGGAAGGTTGTCCGTCCTGTAATAGATAGTTATATGATGTATGTTAAGAACTTTTCCTAGATCCACCCGCCAGGTTGCAGTTCTTTTTTGATTACCAGATATTGTACATTGTCCAACAGAATTAGACCGGTCTGAAAACAATCCATCCACGGCTTTATCCGCCGGATAATTATATAGTAGTAAATCTAAATACGTGGGCCAGTCGTTATACATATAAGGATACTGCTGCCATGTTTGTTTCCGTAAAGCAAGATTTTCTTTAAAAAAAGAAAAAAACGTTCATATTCATGTGGAAACATGTACAAGCATTTGTAAATATTCCAATGCTCCTGGCATGTGTTTTCCTCCAAAGCAAGATTGTCTTTAAAAATAAAACATATTCATGTTCAAGTGGATACGTATACCAGTATTTGTATATAATTATACCGTGTTCTTTCCATGTTGGTTTTCTGAAAGCAAGATTATCATAGGAAAAAAAGAAAATGAAATAAATCTGAAAGTTTCTTCTAGATTTTTCAGGGTAATAAAAAGAAGGAAATTCATAATTTGTATTTTTATACAATGAGCCTTTTAAGATATTTCAGAAAAATAATACAGATCTTTGTTTATTGCTTATTCATGTTAATTTTTATTCTGCATCTTATATGCAGAGTAACTGTTTATTTTGTTACAAAATGGACTTATAAATTTGCAATAAGAGCAAAACATATTTAGATAATGTGTTTGTTTGATACTGAAAATTGAATGCAGAAAAAAAGTCTGAAGATCTTAGCTATTGACCTACGTAATAACAACTTTTATAAATGAAAAAATACAACGGAAATACTATATCTTATTCCAATTTAGTTATTAGATAATACATGTACTACGTGTATAAAGCTTACTTATGACAATAAGGTGAATGTTTAAAAAAAGTACATGTAAAACGTATACAAAGACCAAAGTATCAAACGCCAAAGAAAAAGGTATTGACTGAAGTATTTTTGTATCAACAGCAGACCATTTTATAACTTTTCTTAAGAACTAATTAAACCTGAAAATATGTAAAAGATATTTTTTTTTAAAAATCTGATTACGAATTCCTGATATGGTAGTGTTCTGTTTCACAAAATGAAAACGGGAGGTTGGAATTCAATGGTCATTTTTCCCTTGACAAATTCGTTAATTTATGAGTTGAGAAATATCAGTTTCCTTTCTTGGAGTTGATTAAAACAGCATAATTACAAGAAAAAAAAAATGAAAAAAACGATGATTTCAATTTTCAAATTTCCTTAAAAGTATACGTATTTCAAATTGCAATATAAGCGAAGCTCTTAGTGACAGAAGTAAAATATAGAATTGTTCGACAGACTTTTATGTGTAGAATAGCTGTTACCAAGGACATGTAACTCATTGATAAAAATGTTTAAAAGAAAAGCCAAAAAAAAAAAATGAAAGTCGTGCACTGAAAAGAAACGTAAAAAATTAAATAATCTTACCATAAGCCTCTGCTATTTTCCCAATCAATGAAATTTCACCGAGAAAATAAATTAAAGCAGTTCCACTTTTCATGTTTGATACGGAATAATATGTATGCATAAAGTGTAATAAGATTTTGTTTAAGAAAACCTTTTTTTCTGAACGAAGTCAGAAGGCAAAATATTCCCAGTTATCATCTACATTTTATGAGATTTTGTGTTGTAGATAGGAACATATAAATAAGGATATTAGCAATCATTACTGAAGAAATTTAGTCTTTAGCTACTTCAATATGTACTTCAATATATTTCCTTCTTTCTATTTCCCTAAGTGAACAGTTATTTTTAGAATAAAGTACGTCATATTTACTATATATTTCTCGTTTTATTGACACTCATTCCCTAACAAATAATAAAAGCGTCAAGTTATGACAGGTTACTCTTTTGTTCAAATATTCTATGGTATTTAAATCTGGTTGCTAAGTGAAAACCGATATTTTTATTTTCCCTGTTTTATTTCTTATTCATATCTTAGTAGGATATATGAAAATCTAGACTTTTAGAATTCAGACATTCCTATACTTGATTTTATCTTTAACTCAGCATTAACATAAATCGATGACGTAGAAACAATAAATAATGATAATTTCATTCATATAATAATCCAATATTTCAACGTGATCTATAAATCAAGGGTACTGAAGTCCCTGCTACGTTTCTTTCATATTCAGATGCTTTACTGATTAATGACATAGTTCCAAACTAAACTTATACCTTAATTGTACTACACACGGTTTGACTTCAGCTATTTAATTGTCAACTTTCCTTATTAATGTTTTAATATTGCATTTAAAGCTGCATATGGCGTTATGTCTCAAAATTATTCGACGCTTATAGGCGTGCACTCACTTCTTCTTAAGCTGGGGCAATCTACCGACAATTTAGTAATTTTGAATATAATGATTCAACCTCATCAAAAGTCAACATTCAGCAAATTTAACAGCTGCTATGGTTGATGTGATAGAAATCATAATTTTTATTGTTTTTTTTATTTTTTTTTTATTTTTTTTTTTTTTGGAAAGGGGGGGGGTATTTACATGTATATACAACTATTGTTTGGCAGTAGTTTTGACAAAAAAAAACAAAATTAAAAAAAAAATTTAAAAAAGACTATAACTTCTTACTATAATTATATATGTGACACTGTTTTTAAACTAAAAATAACTGCGAGGTATTCCATCTTCCTAATCAACACATATAGCTCACGGCAAGCAAGATCAGTCGACAGGGGGATGCTTACTTCCCATAGGCATGTGATACCCCCTCTAATATGGTCCGTGTTTTAGTCCTATTGAAGACTTTTTTAATCTTGTTTTTTTTTTTGGTATTTTTTGTTGCATTATTTTTTTTGGATGGGGTCTTTTTGTTTTTTTTTAATGAGATTTATAACTGACAATATTATATGTAAATGTTGTCTTAACTTGTACATTTTGAACATTACGACATAAACCTTTAATAAGGAGACACTTACACATACTCACAATCAAATATATTGCAGAATACTGCAGAATTTAGTAATTGTTTCACATGTACCATGTCTCAGACTTGCTGCTTCAATAAGGTCGTTTAAAGCAATCGCTAATTAAACGCATTTAATTGATTTCCGAAAAACACAGGGGGTAGGTCTTTTGATACTTTCCCTCGATTGCCGCGAGTATAAAAGAGGGGCGCACATGGCGTTTTCCTCCTCTTGCTCGATAGCTTTCCCAGCGTTTCTGCACTTTTGATAATTGTTTTGAAGTACTTAAAGCCTCCGAGAACGGTTCAGCAAAAATCGAAAAATCATGCCACCCATTAGAGCCAGAAAGTCCCAAGCCACCGTCAAGTCCACCAGGGCAAACAAGTGGACCAAGGGAGCCAGGCAGCAGCAGGACAGAGGGGGGGGGGAGGAAACCTAACCGCTGTCCACCACGCTGACACCAGGGCAGACCCTGAGATCGAGCGGATTGTGACTGGTACAAGTACCCAGGCCTGGGAGGAAGACGTTTAATCCTCCACGGGAATGGCGGAGGAGCATGTGCCGCTCATTACTAACAATAAGGGTAGGCAATTAGATTTTTCTACTTCGTGGCCTGTCCCGGAGGAAGCTGCCCTATCACCGGCAGGTAATTTCGGGGCGATGCCAAACATGGAGGTTTGCGCTGGGGACGATATAGGTGTCCATGTTCCAATCGCTTTAAAACAAAAAAAACTAGGTGGGGAACTATATAAACTTAGCCCTGCTTACAAAGGGAAGCGCTGAGCTGCAGCAGTTCGCTGCGGGTAGTAATTTTGTTCTAAATGATAAGGGGGAACTTGAGGCTAAGCCCAAAGTTTTGAATGAGAAGATAGCAACCATCGATAGAAGGACTGACGCTTTTCTATTATTCATGCACATATATATTCAAAGGCACCCAGGGAGGGCAGCCGAATTGGTTCAATATATGTTTGTCATTTGCGACGCAGCGAGGAAATTTCCGGGCATGGGATGGAGAAATTACGACGAACAGTTTAGAGTGCGTCAAGCAATCTCTTACCGAAATTGGTCAAAATTAAATTCCGATTTATGGCTACGCTTGATAGCTGTCCCATCCAGGCCAGGAACTTAGCCTCGCTGCATCGCATGCACCAAACCAAACTGGTGTCTGCTTCAGTTACAATAGAGGCCGTTGCATTACAGCCAATTGCAAATATGCGCATTTATGTTCTCTTTGTAAAGGAAAGCACCCAAAATCGAGTTGTGCAAAAAATAATACTTTTCGTAACTCAAAGGCCTCAAACAGCACCTCTGCAACCAATAAAGGTCAAAAACATAAAAGTAGCAAATACCCCTATAAACACTGCAGCTTTAAAAAATTCTCTTACAAATTATCCGAATTTAGAAGTAGCAAAAGAACTTATGAATGGTTTTCAATTTGGTTTTCGATTGCATTACCTGGGTCCTCGGGAAAAAACAGAAGCACCTAATTTGCCCTCTTTCTATAAACATGCAGATGTCGCTAGAGACAATATCAAAAAAGAAATTGACAAAGGACGGATGGCTGGCCCATTCAAATCACGACCTATGTCAAATTTGCGAATTTCGCCACTGGGAGTATTGCCCAAGAAAGCGGAGGGGGAATTCAGGGTAATTCATCACCTCTCCTACCCTACCAATAGCTCCGTCAACGACTTTATTGACGAAGAACTTTGTTCGGTCAATTACACAAAATTTGACGAGGCCATTAGCATGGTTCAGCGTTTAGGGCGTGGATCTTACTTAGGCAAATCGGATATCAAAAGCGCTTTTACATAAATGCCCATTTGGCCCGGTGATTTTGAGCTTCTGGGTTTCAAGTTCGACGGCTGTTATTATTTTGACAAATGCCTTCCCTTTGGGTGTTCTATATCTTGTGCTACATTCGAGAAATTTTCATCGTTTCTAGAGTGGCTGGTGCACGAGCGAGCTACATCTAGAGAAGTCCTACACTATTTAGACGATTTCTTGTTCGGGGGTCATACGGCAGACGAGTGTCAAATGATAGTGGATAACTTCATACAGGTCTGCCAAGAATTAGGGGTCCCAATAGCATGGGAAAAAGCGAGGGTCCACAGGAAGTTATTACTTTTCTTGGGCTAGAAATTGATACTCAAAAAATGCAGGTCAGGTTGCCGGAAGAAAAAGTGAATGAAATCAGCATGATTATTGAAGGCATATTGAAGAAATCGAAAACCAACTTGAAAACCATGCAATCTCTAATAGGATATCTAAATTTTGCCTGCAGAGCAATTCCTCCCGGTCGCACTTTCTGCAGGCAGCTGTCAAATGCAACGCGTGGTTTGTGTCAACCCTATCATCATTTAAGAGTAACAAAAGAGATAAAAGCGGATTTACTTGTATGGCTGGAATTTTTTGATAAATTCAACGGTTTTGTGGTATTCCAAGAAAAGTTTTGGGTATCTAACATAGATTTAAAACTTTTTACAGATAGCTCGGTGCGTCGAGGAAACGGTTTGGGAATTTATTTTAGCGGCGCATGGACCTACGGTGTATGGCCAGAGTTTTGGTTCAATGAGGGCTATACTAAGGATATCACTGTGTTGGAATTTTTTCCTTTGCTTGTTTCAGTACTTTTATGTGGGGAAAAGCTGCGCAACAAAAAAGTTTTATTTAGATCTGATAATCAATCAGTGGTACATATTGTAAATTCGATGACATCAAAATCAGAATTAGTAATGATCATGTTGCGCAAATTCGTTCTAAAATGCTTGCAGTTGAACATTTCATTTAAAGTGCAGCACGTCTCGGGCGTTCAGAAGTCATTGACGGACAGTTTGTCACGTTTACAATTTCAGCGATTTCACAAGTTGGCTCCGGACGCAGACAGTCAGCCGACACCATTTCCAGGGGCACTTTGGACTATTTTCGAGACGAAATCACTCGATTGTTAGATGCAAGCGTTTCAGCAAACACCAGGGTTGTATACTTACAAGCTTTAAAGAATTTTAAAGATTTCAGAATATTGACAAAACTACCTGATAAATGGCCAGTTCCTTCAAACCATATTCTGTTATATATAGCATATCATTCAGACAAGGGCTCAGCAGCTTCAACATTTTCATCCTATATTTCATGATCCGGCAGATTTATTCATAGTTAGGAAATCTTTAGAAGGGTTGCGCAGATTGAATAGAACAAAAGACCACAGAGCACCTATTTCGGAAGAGCTTCTCGCTAAAATCTGTTGCGCTCTTAATCAAGTGTGTTATTCGGAATATGAAACATTCTTGTTTAGATCAGTTTTTACCTTGGCCTTTTACGGTCTATTTAGGGTAGGGGAATTAGTGTATACCTCGGAGCATTGCGCCCATGTTCCCTTAACTATTAAGGATATAAAATTTTGTACGTCAAAGAGCGTTCCTTGGTAAGATTCTCTAAAACTGATCAAACAGGAAAAGATATCAATATTTTATTACCATCTATTCATCAAAGAAACATTTGTCCAGTTAATAACTTGAAAAAATTTCTTGCAGTGAAACCACGTGTTGAGGGTTCATTATTCGTGCATAGCAATAAATCCCCGCTAACGAGATATCAGTTTAACGCAGTCCTGAGAAAAACCCTTTCGAGAATTAATAACCCAATTTCTGCTTACAAATCACATTCTTTAGGAATTGGAGGTGCAACGTGTCTTGCT